CTGAGGAAGTTTTGGGAAAGATCTGAGGAAGTTTTGAGGAAGGTCTGTGGAAGTTTTGGGGAAGGTCTGAAGAAACTTTGGAGAAGGTCTGAGGCACTTTTGGGGAAGACTGGAGACACTTTTGGGGAAGATCTGAGGAAGTTTTGGCGAAGGTCTGTGGAAGTTTTGGAGAAGGTCTGAGGCACTTTTGGGGAAGGTCTGAAGAAGTTTTAGGGAAGGTCCGAGTCAGTTGTGAGGAAGATCTGAGGAAGTTTTGGGGAAGGTCTGAAGAAGTTTTGAGGAAGCTCTGTGGAAATTTTGAGGATGGTCTGTGAAAGTTTTGAGGAAGGTCTGTGGAAGTTTTGGGGATGGTCTGACGTTTTGGAGATGCTCTGAAGTTTCGGGAATGGTCCGTCCAGGTGGCCTCTGCACCACCCCCATCCCCTCCACGACCATCCCACCACCCTCCGAGCAGGACCAGGCGTGGAGCTGGGAGCTGCTGCCGGAGGAGCCGCTTTCCAGCAGCCCCTGGAGCTGCCGCACCGCGAGCCTGGATGGAAATTGTTTAATTCCTGCGGGATGAGTCACGGGGAGCCGGGATTTCAAAGCCGCTTGGCTCCCATGTAAGGCACTCAAATAAACAGAGTGTGGCAGGTGGAAGCTCTCTCTGATGTCCCGTCAAGGACTTCGTCTTTCCAAGTGTTTTGCCTTGCCAAAAATCCTCCGGCTTCATCCATTCTTGCCACGGCTGAGGCCGAGAACTGGAAAATAATGAATCAATGCCCGGAAACATGAATCGACGGAAAATTTATGACACACTTATAATGTAATGTCTTTTGGGTTCCCTGCTCTTGAAGCATCAGCACCGAAGGGTTTTGGCGTCTCCTTTTTCCCCCCTCCAGCAAGGAGGATTTGAGGAGAAAGAATAAAGCTTCCCTTCCCCTCCTTCGTCTCAGTTTAAGGAGTCAGTGGATGGCGGAAAGAAGTTGGAAAGAAATCGGAACAATCTGCTTGAAAAATGGGAAATGGGGGTGAGGAATGAGAGCGATGGGAAAGAGTGAGAGCGTGGAAAAGTGAGGGGTGTTGGAGAACCCCGAGTGCTCCATTCTGGAGGGCAAAAAAATGCCCTTGGGTTTTGATTTATCAGGAAAAGGCAGTGGAAACACGGACACTTGGGAGTTTGGACACTTGGAAGGAAGGAAACTCCACCTGGAAGGGAGACTCGGTTGGTTTGGTTGTGTTTTGCTGAGCAGTGAGGGCGGTCGAGCCTTGGAAGGGTTTCCTGAGGGACGTGGGGTGGATTTGTTGGATTGGCCCCCCTCGGAAAGACGGGAGGCACGAGGAGCTCGTGGAGGGTTTTGGGAATCAGGTATCAACCTGCTCCCCCCCAGACCGAGTGGTAGGAGTTGGCTGTGCTGCTGCTTTGTTGTTTTTCCTTAAGATTTCCAAGTCTTTGGGACACGGGGCGGGTTTTCCTCTGCCTGGGAAGCAGCGAGGGATGAGAGCGGGGCAGGTGATGCCAGAGGAGGTTCAGGAGATTCCTGATGGAGTGGTTTCAGTGGCTCCTGCCAAACAGGGCTGGTTTTGGGGCTGTCCAGCCAGGAAGGGTCTCCTGCAGGATCGAGTTTCCCTCTTGGCAGCAGGCACGGCACGATCACATCCATGGATTATTGGGAGAACGCAGGAAAACAGGGAACTTGCAGACTGTTCTCCAGGAGAAAAACTGAGCTCAAACTTTGGCCTTTCATCAAGATCCCTGGGTCCCTCCCTGGGATCATGTGGCTCTGAGTACCCAAACACGCCGGGATTCAGCCCAAAAGCACCCTGGGGATCACGGGTGGTGTAACTGAGCCCTTGGAGCTCATTCCAGTGCCCAAAGGGGCTCCAGGAGAGCTGGAGAGGGACTTGGGAAAAGGGATGGAGAGACAGGACACAGGGAATAGCTTCAAACTGAAAGAGGGGAAATTTAGATGGGATATTGGGAAGGAATTTCTCCCTGGGAGGGTGGGGAGGCCCTGGCACAGGTTGGGCAGAGAAGCTGTGGCTGCCCCAGCCCTGGAAGTGTCCAAGGCCAGGTTGGACAAGGCTGAGCTTCGCAGTCTGGGGCTTTTTAGAGCGAGAGAAACGCGACGGCAAAGCCCGGAATGACTCCGCTGTTGTTGTTTTCCACATTGGAACCGGGATTTTAAAGCCTTTCGAAAGGTCACAGGCGAGTGGGTGGGGGCCAGAATTCCTGGCTGCCGGAACAGGAGGCTTTTTTTATGGGACGTGCAGCGAGGCTGAAACCGCTCTCCTAAAATTTTATGGGCTTGCAACGAGCCAGAGGCCCTTTCCCAGGTGGCCGGATCGAGTGTCACGGCTCTGCTCCGTCACAGCCCTTTCCTGCCCGGGGGCAAAGGGGGCTGAGCCCCCCCAGGCCATGAAGGTTGTGTGTGACCCTATTGCTGGTTGCTCACCGTGGAATTCACCTCCTAAAACACCCCAAACCGTCTGCTGGAAGCTGTTTGTCCCCCTGGAGAGCCAATGGCTGCTGTCCGACCCCATGTGGGGTCCCTTCCCCAGCTCCCAAACCTTCTCCTTCCCCCGAGGCTGCTGCTCCTTCACAAATTCTTCACTTCCCTGAGTTTTGCCACCTGTGCAAGGACCAAGTGCAGTTTCCTTGGTCCTTCACCCTTTAGCACCAACCCTGGGAACTGTTTGATGTGTTTTCGGTGCCTGTTCCCTGCTCCTGCTCTTGTTTGCCAAGGAGAAATCGGGATTTAAGGTGCCTGATTATCGTGGAATGGTTTGGGTTGGAAAGGACCTTGAATATCATCCAGTCCCACCCCTGCCATGGGCAGGGACACCTTCCACTAGCCCAGGTTGCTCCAAGCTCATCCAACCTGGCCTTGGACACTTCCAGGGATGGGAGAGCCACAACTTCTCTGGGCAACCTGTGCCAGGGCCTCACCACCCTCCCAGGCAGGAATTCCTTCCCAGTATCCCATCTAACCCTGCCCTTTTCCTGTTGGAAGCCATTTCCCCCTTGTCCCATCACCATTCCCACTATGTCCTATCATGATGATGAACGTAGATATGAACACATCCAACATCCTCCAACAACCTCCAACATCCTCCATCATCCTCCAACATCCTCCATCATATTCCAACATCCTCCATCATCTTCCAACATCCTCCATCATATTCCAACATCCTCCATCATCCTGCAACATCTTCCAACATCCTCCATCATCATGCAACATCTTCCAACATCCTCCAACATCCTGCAACATCTTCCATCATCCTCCAACTCCTCCATCATCCTGCAACGTCTTCCATCATCCTCCAACATCCTCCATCATCCTCCATCATATTCCAACATCTTCCAACATCCTTCATCATCCTCCATCTTCCATCATCCTCCGACATCCTCCAGCATCCTCTAACATCCTCCACTGTCCTCCTCATCATCCCCCATCATCCTCCATCGTCCTCCAACACCCTCCATCACCCTCCTGCAGGATGGGGAGCCCAGCTCTTCCTTGGCTCCACGGGATGGGAACCAGCAGCAGGCAGGGCTGGCACCATCCCCCTCTGGTGCTCCCAGTGCTCCCACCAGCCTCTCCCAGCTCCCATCCCACTCCGGTGCTTATCGCCGCCGCTCCGGACCCATCGGGATTCCATCCTCTTTCCTCCTTATATGGCCAAACTATTCTTTTTCCTATCTTGGCGTTGTTTATAGCCCAGCTGAAAATATTTAGGCTCTGGCTGGATTCTACAATTGCCCCGTAACCCACGGGGTATCTGATTCCTGGTAGTTAACATGGAATTATCTGCATCCCATAAAACCCAGGGATGTGGCCATGAGGGGGGTGTTTGTTTTCTGCAACAAAAATAAAAGCAAATGTGCCAAATCCCAATTAAAATAAATATTTCCCCCCCCAGCAAATTTTATTTGACCAATACTGTGAAACTGGGGTTGCTGGGGTTTTTTCCTTTTCTCCTTTTTTTTTTTCCCCTTTTCTCTCTTTTTTTTTTTTTTTTTTAATTACCCCCCTTGGAAAATTTTATTTGCAACAGAAAAATATTCGGAGTTTGAAACAAAAAAAATAAAGGCCAGGAGGCAGCTGTGAGTCCGTGCTGCTTCCCAGAGCCTGGTTTTGATGGGATTTCATGGCTCAGAGCCCAGGGATGGGAGCACAGATCCCATTCCCCGCTGCGGGGCCAGTGGGAAAATCCCACCAGATCCAACCTGCTCGGGATGGAGATCATGGAATGATGGAAGGGGAGAACCCAACTGGCCTTGAGGGACACGCCAGAGGGATTTGGGGTGGGATTTGTGCTTTGGGAAGCTGCTGGGCTGTGACTCTGGGTGGTCAGCACGGCCGAGGGTCCCGATCCCACCGCTGGGATGCTCCAGCCCCCCCTTGGTCATTTTTCCTGAGGTTTCCATGGTTTTGGCTGGTTTTGGTGGAACTGCCGTGTCGGTGCTGCCGGCGGGGAGGGATTTGGGCTCTGCTTGCCCCTCTGGGTGAGGGGATGGCAGGAGGGAAGTCCTGGTGCTTGTGGAAGGACAGGGACATCAAACCACAGCAGAGCGGGGTGAAGGAGGGCGAGATGGAGCCGGGAGCTCCTCCCAGGGGAACTTCCCTGCAGAAAAGGCCTCAAAGGCTGGGGTGGCATCAGTTTGCCTGTCCCTTCCCACAGTGATACCGGCCCCTGGTGCAAGGAAACCTGGATGGAGGGAGGGGAGGTGGGAACCCAGCTGTGTGTGGTGGGGAGGGGCTGGATGGGGCCACCACCTCGTCCCCATTGCTGCCACATTGTGCCCCTTGGCACTACCTTGTCCACATTGGTGCCACCTTGACCCTATTGCCATCACCTTTAACCTGTTTCCGTCACCTTGACCCCAATTCCATCACCTTGACCCCATTTCCATCCCTTAACTCTGTTGCCGGCACCTTGACCCTATTGCTGGCACCCTGACCCTATTGCCATCACCTTGTCCCTGTTTCCATCACCTTGACCCCAATTCCATCACCTTGACCCCATTTTCATCCCTCAACTCTGTCGTTGGCACCTTGTTCCTATTGCCATTATCTTGACCCCAATTCCATCACCTTGGTCCCATTTCCATGACCTCGTCCCCGTTTCCATCCCCTTCTCCTCATTTCCATCCTCTTCTCCCTATTTCCATCCCTTTCTCCCCATTTCCATCCCCTTCTCCCCATTTCCATC